ACTCGTGATGGTAAAGAGACCAGAGCATCGTCGACGTTGGCTGCTTCGGAGAGCATCGAACCGGAAGTAGCTGATGATATGGAGGTAGAGGAAGAAGAGGAACCAGAAGGGAGAAGATCACGCAGAGGAGCTGTTGTTGGTGAGGATGAAGAGGATGTTGGCGAGGCCGATGAGGATTACGAGGATGAAACGAAGAGTTCCATGGGACTGGCAACTACTGCAGAAGCAACACCAACACCCAGCCGAGAGAGCACAATCGCGCTCGAGGAAACAAGAAGCACCACAAGCGGCAGCAATCGTCGATCGAAACGTCGAGGTGGCAAAGCACCACGACGATCAGCACCACCCAAAAAGAAACGTCGTGATGATGAGGAGGTGACGGACGAGGCCGAAGATGATGATTTTGTGCCGGAATCGACGAAGAGGTTAGTTGAAGGCTGATCGACTTTAATAGAAGGTTCATCGGTGATTTGTTTGGTTGAATGGTTTATTTGATCGTTTGATTGATTGATCGATTGATTCGGTGATCAGTATGTCGGTGAATGATTCTGATGCTATGTTGGTGACATTTTTCAGAACCCGTAAAAGGTTGAGGTCAAAACGACGTGAGAAGGAGGTCGAGTCAACGAAAGATATTCCGATTGAGTATGTTGAGGTAGAAGATTGATTTGTTCATCATCCAAAAATGTGATACCCTCTAGGTGTTTTCTCTTGTTGTTGAGGAAAAAATTATAGTATAATTTTTATTTTGTCTCATTGTCGATGGGGGGGGGGTTAATTTTATGTTAAAGTCTTTTAGTATTGAAACATCTGGTGGTGTTTTGTAGCAACAGCGGTTTGAATGAAGACTGCTGTGCGATTTGTGGTATTGATGTTGAATTGATGAAGTTGTGTTGTAGAAACGACGATCTGGTCGAACGTTGGGCGCCTCGAAGAAAAATTACGATCTTCAAGCGAAATGGGATGAAATGGAAGAGGAACTAATGGAAGAGGACGATGGAGCGCAGTCAGGCGAAACCAAAAAGGTTTTTTTTTTGCTTTGCTGGCTTTTTGATTGCCGTAAAGTTGTGTTCTTCGGAAATTGTTTGCAGTTGATTACGGGTTTGGTTTCATCTCTGAATTGAGTCGAATTCAAGAAATGAGATTTGCGTTCGTTTTAGGAAGAACCGAGTGAGTTTATAATCGAGAAAATAATGAGTGTGAAAAAAGACGATAAAGGCGATGGACCCGACACGTATTTTGTCAAGTATAAGAACAAGTAAGTTGTTTCAGTGACTTGCGTTTTGATTATTTGAATGATTTGTGAGGAATTTTAGCGTTGTTTGATGTAAATTTTTGTAGACATTTATTGAAATTTGAATTGATTGCGTTTTTATTATTATTCTACGTCTGATTTTTCACTTCAGTTTTTGAG